ACCCCTCCTCCAGCTTCGTACAGTCCCACGCCGTATTCACCTGCTGAGTTCGATCAGTATATGCAGGGCTACAGTGAGCTTAAAAGTGGTAAATATGATCCTGTTCTTACTAAGGGATTTTGAGTCAGTCGACATTGCTTCTAGATGCAGTGACTGATAGCCGAGTATCGAAGAAGGAGCGACGAGCATTACCTCGTCAGTTGGAGCAGAAAGGTCGAGAACTAATGCGGCCAGTGACACCGCCTCCGGCTGTCCGGGAAGAATACGATTATGAAGGCCCGGAATGGAATATTATTGAGGATCAAGCATTGCTGACGGTGAGAGCATATGGATTCTGAGTTTTTAGTATCTTGAAATCTTCAAGTGTAAAATTTTGACATCACATTAGGCGGTTCGAAATGAAGAGCTCATGTGCCATAGCTTTGAAAGAGTGAAGACATCATTGCGCTTCAATTGGGAGTACATTTCTGGATTTGTTAACCGTGTTACGCGGTTTTACAGGTACTCAGATTTCCTAATTTTTCTTTCAACCAGATGATTTCATATGGCTTCAGTATGACTGTGGACTTGACCTGTGAACTGTCTATTACTTATGCTCTGCATGTTTTTTCTCTCTCTGTAATTACTGAAATGCGTCCTGTCCAAGTCAGGAGTTCCAACCTATCAAACTCATGAATTACACAGGAAAACAACCCTATTACGTGAGAACAAATGCTAAAAAGGCTAAAATCCAGTTATGGGGAGGCGCGGCGAGGGTGGGGCGGAAGCAAGTGGTTTGTTGCTGTCTGCATGTAGCGGAGAACAAATTCCTTGTCAAGTGGTATGATTTGTGAGCAACTACAATTGCATTGTGTGAACCATACAAGCCAAAACGACTAGTTTTGTTTAATTTATCGTCTTCTTAGACTTCGTGTATGTGGGACCCCTGTCCAGTGAATTTAAATGCAATTATTTCTTTACTTACAATATATTTTGTAAATAGGCAATGATCTCTTAGATAAGCCGGTTAACGGTTTTGTTGTGGACAAATAATTGACTGTGTCTTTCTCTTTGCTGATTTGTGAAACGTTAAGATCTCCACGGCAGTGTTCAATTCGTTACCAGTTGGTTGTGAGACCGCGTGAAAGTGGTCAATTAATGGTCGTGGATCCATTAACGAAGAAACCTCGAAAAGTGCCGTTGACTTCGGCAGAGATTGGTTTGTACTATTTTTTTTACAGGTAATTTTGCGTAAAATCGTTGAGCACACAACCTTCAGTTCACTTGCGCAAAGGTCGAGTTACGACGGAACTTCAATATACACATGATGCTGATAAAATACGTGAAGCATCGATGTTAGGCCGATTGCGCTTGATTAACTCGCTAGCGGAGAGGCAAAATTCTTACAACATTGCAAGGCGACCAAATGGTATATTTTCGAGTGATGATGGCTTCTTTTCATCGTTTGATTCTCTCCGTTTTAGATCCTCGATTACTGGAGTTGAGCGGGCGTCTACCCACAGCCCAGGAAAATCGGCTTGCTGCTATGAACATTCGATTCCCAACTGGTCTTTCACCGCAGGAAATTCTGTCGAATTTGGTGAGTACGCTAGTGTTGAAGTGAACAAGCGAGCATGTTTGAAGTATTTGTGAAACGGTTTGGCGTCGTTAGAACATTTTGAACTTTGCNTTGTGACTCAGTTCCTGGGTTTCCCATTTTTTGAAATTGTCGAATCTTTTCATATCACAGTATTTGCAGTGTTAAATTTTTCATTACTTGATGTTCAGGAGGAAAAGCGAATCGCTCAAGAGGCAGCTAAAAAGAAATTGGCTGAACAACAAGCCAACAACGAGAGACCGGTGAGTCGATTGAGGCGTTTTTTATGGACTTATCTGTAATCTGCCCAGATCTAAAATTTGTTGTCATAGAACTCGCCTCCCCATCCGGTGATTTCGGTATGCGTACGACCGGCAGCGGTACCTGCTGGGCCCGATATTGTGCAGTCTCGGATACCTATGGTCATACCCGTCCCTCAGCTCGTGGTTGGTTTTTTTTTTCTGAGTAAATGGGAAGGGCTGTGGAATGGTTTTTGTGAATATTTCCAGAAACCTGTGTATCACCACCTCGAGAAACAAAATGGATCTTTTCACACTGATAGTTCAAATTGTATTTTTCAGTTACCAAGTCCACCTGTTCTTCAGCAGACCTTGGCGCAAGATCTCACTATGGTGTGAACTTTTTTTTNTTTTTTTTCTATTTTTAATTTCATTGCTTTTTTATCTCTATCTCGTCCGTGCTTTGAGGCCATGCTCAAGACTTTTTTTAGAATGTTATGCCACAGTCGCATTCTCCAGTCGGTGGAATGCGCCGCACTGCATCACATCCTTCGACCGGTGTTGCAATGGGTAGTAGTTTACAGCATGTGCAGGGTCCAGGTCCAAGCACCCAACACAATTACGTGGTTGTCAGTCAAGACTCTCTTCCTCCTTCATCTCGCATGCAGGTGAGCATTCTTTACTGTTCCTAAGTAATATTTTGTTAATTTTTATGTTGTTATGACAATATGAAGCATGAGGTGCTTAATTTCCCTAATACCGATGATTTTTCTTTCGTTCAAGTTTGTCACTCGAACCGCAGACGGTATGACGATTGGTCAAGGTGCGCAGCCTGTCTACCGCTCGATCTCAAACACTTCACAAACAAAGCGCACCCCACCAAACACGCCATCGCTTAGTCGGGTTCGTTTGAAGCGGCTATCCTGCTTATCCGATGGGTCAATGAAGGCAGCAAGCTATGTTTCAGGTACAGGGGAGTTACATGACAAACGTTCAAACAGTGTCCGGTAACAACCAGCTGTACCAACCAGGTGCAACTACTGTTAGCGGCGCACCAAGGGGGAGAGTTATGCAAAGGGTAAGTGAAATCTGGTCTTTTTTCTCTAGCTGGCCCATTTCAAGACTTTGGATAAAACAATTTTCTAAACTATAATAATTACTCAAGTTGAAGGAAAAAGTTTTTCACTCCTAACCCTCTAAGAGCCTGATTCGTCACTGCTACTTTCAGTGCCTGATATCCTTTCTTGATTAATGTAGACCGGAACGGGGTTCTTCATCCTATCTACCTTGCCACTGTCCCACAGGAGAGATGCGCAGACGTGAGATAATGTTTGTGAGCGACTATTGGCGCTCCCTCCTCACCGGTCCCGTGGTGTAGCGGTTAGCACTCAGGACTCTGAATCCTGCGACGGGAGTTCAAATCTCCCCGGGACCTTCTGTTTTGCATTTCTTCTGTTGTGAACTTTTTTGGATAAATTTCCTGGTAGACAGGAGAACGTCGCGATGAATTGTTTTTTAAATCCCAAAAATCTCCCGTAACCATTATTTCCAGCCTGCCGCTCCTCGCATGTTCGTCCAGCAAGCTCCTCAATCAGGTGATCGTTCTTATGTTGTTCCACAACAGCAGATCAGGATGGTTTCTACGCAACGTCTTCCTCCTCCGAAAAGGACAATAGGGCAAAAAGCTCCGGTTTGTTTCGGGCATACCTTATTTATCCTTGCTACTGCCTTACGATGAACTATTCCGACTACTTTTAGATGACTGCTGTGATGGTACCTTCACGAGCTGGACAACCGCATCAACTTCGTGCTGTTCCGTAAGTGGAAGAGTCAAGAATGTACTTTAGCTATAGGTTAGTATTCTTTCTGTAGGAGAGGATTCACGCAAGGAACACGAATTATGAACGTGGTAATGGCGCCGAGCAGTAGCGTAGCCTCAGCAAGCTCATCACAGTCGCTTCCAATGCAATCAACCAGTCAGCCCGGTAGTGGAACGATTATGGCCTCAACTCCTCCTACAGTTCGGCATCCATCACCTTTCTCTGAAGGTACGCTCTCATTTTCTCGTCAATTTAAATCTTCTCTGGTACTCCGATTTCATTTTCGTTGCATCTTCTATAGTGGATACTCCAAATTGTCGGCTTGTTGTAAAGCGTTTGAAATATCCATTTTGACTCTCGGAGAAGATCATGCGCTAAATTGACTAAAAGCTGTCGCGATTGAGTTGAATAAGTTGGTAGTCGGCCCCCACATTGAAAAATGTTTTGAGTTATCGGTGATCTCCAAAAAAGTGAAAGGGATCGTGGGCAAAATTTTTACCCTGTTTTTCCATTCATAGCAACTACTTATAACTGCGAATGAACACTGGGAGAACGATAACGAAATAACTCTTTGCTCATCACTTTCCTCTTCGCGCTAATAAACTGATTCGAATAGCTCGCTTCCTATGGCTGTTTTCCTTTTCTTTTCCTATTCCTTCCCATTAGTGTAAGTGTATCCAAAGTAGTTTCAGCTACTGGTGTCACCGTCAAGAGACAGTTATTGGCGCAAAACCGCCAGTTAGGTCCCGCTTCGCGTGGCGCATCTCCTCAAACGGTCGCTCAGGTGGTAATCGCACCTCCCCAGCAGTCTGTGGCCGAAGAGCCGCCTCCATCCATCTCTGCTCCGGCTTCAGTTCCGCCTCCTACAACTACTACCGTTTCTGCCTCGGTGTCTGGATCTGTTCCAGTACAGTCGTCTCAAGGTGAAGAAGTACCTACGACGACCCCGAGGCAACAGACCTCATCTCCTCAGACCTCATAAAGTGATTTGTGTTGAACGAAAATCTCAATTACGTGTATTTTGCTTTAATTTGTAACGAACAGAGTTTCTATAGTGATCGTGATGATAAATAATGATGATTTTGTTCATTGTTACAAGAAAAATTGCCTAGCATTCATCCTCCTTGTGTGGAGATTATTGTTGTTGTTGTTATCTGATGGTACATACACATGTTCTCAATTAAATTCGGTGATTTCTCTTTGTCATTTGTGCGTTCCTATGTAAATAAAATAATTTTGCTCAGGAACAATAATTCGATAACTTTATTACATGGGATTTTCCAAGATAACCGTTTTTCTTGAATTGAACTTCTGTTTCCCTTTTTATCTACCCTTTTTTATACATGGCTTACCCTCACTTATAAACGGCCAGGTGCATCTTAATCGTTTATGTCGGCTGTATTGGGCCTATAAACGCTACTCTTCGATTGCGAAAGAAATACAAAGGGTAGTTGGTTTATCCTATGTAACAGTCGATTACCCCTTTTCCAGGCTGCCTTGTTTAAGCTGATTCGTATCACCGAGTCTGTTTGGTATATTAGTGGGTAAAACATACCTATGAATGTGGTAGTGCAAACAGTGAAAATGTTCCTCTTTTTACCATAATCAGATTGAATTTCCTAATGTAGATCCACCAGAATTCTGTTTAGTCGTTTTTTGTACCTTTTACCCACTTCCAGAAACAGTAGCACGTGAGATTAGGTGAACTCGAATGCTGAGTGAACCGGAGTGTCGAGTGCTATCATCCGCTTTTGACACATTGGCAAAGGATTTCGATCCCAAAGATGCAACAGTTTTTCTGGAAGGCTCTGGTCTAATAACAACGGATCTTGCCGAAAAAATTGAAACCAGAGTATGTTTCATTGTTTTGAACTTCTGAATTACGTGCTCTTTGTCCATTCAGGTCCATTCATAAAGAATTTAGAGGTGATGTATTATTTTTACTACTTTATTTCATGTACTTTTCCTTTGCAGCCAACTCGGCTAGAAAGGTTAAGAGAATTCTTACGGATCTATCGAAGAAGAGCCACGGACTGCGAGCTACTCATATCATACTTCAAATTCGCAGGTCAAGAATATATTGCCAATTTGTTGCAAACGGATTTGGAGCATGCTTTAGATAGGTAGTGACTTGTTTCTATGAATCAAATTGCCTTTTTTCCCTTTTTTGAATTTTTTTTTTCAGCAATGAACGTTGCAGTAGCGTGCCTCGCTTTCCGCATCATCTCCGATTACGCAAGTTGCTGGCAGGGCACGTACCTCGGGTGTGGCAACACGTAAAAAGAGAACACTTGCAAAATAATGTCGCCGAGGTGTTGAGGCAACGAGCCGATTTAGGTAAAATAAAGTAGATTCTTTCATCAAGGATTGAGTAATGAATAACAAGATGGATCCTTTACTACTTTCTTTCTTCCATGGTGTACATATGCTTTTAATGAGAAATGCGTAGTATTGTATGTTACCGCGTTACTATGGCTTAGTCTCAATGTTACAGAATCGTTCATAGTTGTCCTACATGGGATAGCAGGTTGTGGGAAATCATCATTGGCAGCAGCAGTCGTTTCCGATGTTCCTGATCTATTAGGAGGGTCTGTCCTTCGTACTTTTGCACTTTTTCTCTTTTTTTCGAACTATACTTCTAAGCATTGCTTTTCCAGTTATTTCGAATCGGTGATATGGCTTCAAGATTCTCGTTCTGGACGAGACCGTGCCCATATGTTGTTTCAGGATCTTCTTCTTATGTTATGGTATGGCTTTCTATGTTATAACTTTTGGGTTCATGTCAGCAACTGGTTTCTACTGCACAAATGAGCCATTATGCGTGCGCAGAAAAAGTCGCGTAACTGTGTCAGCCAGGGAAAGAACAGTTTCAGGAATGGCTTTGCGTGGTCGTAAGACCAAGGGTTATTCATTCCACTGTATGTGCGTCATGGATAAAATGAGCAGGAGTGGAGTGTCAAGAACTCCACCCTTTTTGTTATTTGCGCTCCACTTCGAAACAGTGTTTGCTTCTGAATCACGAATTCAATCTAATATCTACTGTTCTTGATATCGTGCAAAGTTTTTGATTTTATCATTTTTATTGCCAATATATCTATAACGCTATGTGTACTACAAAGTTCTGGTTGGTAATGACGTAGCTGTTTCACGGCAGCAACGACCAAAGTGTTTTGATGAGTAACCGTTATAACTAGTAAAACTATGGAGAAAATAGAAAAAATCTCGGAGTCAAGTTTGGGAGCAGTTATATGTGTACAACAAGTAAATATTACACAAGTTTAATAAATAAGTCTTTCCAGGGATGATGCTGACCTAGATCCTCCGAAGCTGGATGATGTTTCTTCTGTGTACTTGCGCAAGCTGGTACTTTTTAATATTAATTTCATTCCTAGAGACTCGGCGGAATAACTCGATATTGTTAAGATTCAAGAAGCACTGATCGATAACCCTAATGTGCTTGTTATCTTGGACGACATTGTACAAGAGGAAACAGTGAAATGGATTAACCAGCTTGGTGTGAGTGTTTTTGGATAGCATATCTGTTGACCAAGGGCGAAAACTTCGCCCATAAACGGCCCCTGGCATGTCGCTCAGAAAATGTCATGCATACCTTCACTTACCTTCCCTTTAAAAACTCGAGCGAAAATCACGAGTCATTGGCAATAACAGTTTACAGATCCCACGGTTTTTTTAAAATATACACCCTCTTCTGCCTAACAGTGGCTTGCTCAGGGGTTGAGGTTGTAATATCATAGTCATCATTGCAATAAAATCTGATTTTTACCAAGGATACTCTATTTTTTAAAACTTCAAGGGTTTATAATGATCATCGCTCTTGGAACTCTATTAGAGGTGAGAATTTTAGCACATAACTAGCTCACATAACAACCAATTTAATTTTTTTATCGGAAATCAGAATTCTTAATGAACTAGGAAAGAAGTCGAGGGAACGGAATTCGGAAACAGAAGCGAAGACTTGTCATTAAAAATCTTTCGCGGATTAAAAGCTTTAGAGTGGTATGAAATTTGGGTACGATTTAAATGCCAGTGTCAACTGCTTGTTGTTACTCAGTGGGTATGGGTTATGGGTTCAACTTTTGGCCTCTGATGGAACTTCTTAATGGGCAAAAGGTATAAGGTCCCAAAGTTGGCGAATAGTTAATATCGGCTAAAAGTCAGGATTATGAAAAGATGCAGGAAAGATGGAGGTATTCATTAACCAATGGTCTTTTCCAAGAGTTTTTCTTTTTTCTTTTTGAACTAACCTTGTTTTTATCCTTCTTCGTATAGGTCGCACAGTATAAATACCTCAGTATTCGCAGCATGTTGGCGGTCCTCGTATCTATTCGCTATAGAACTTTATCTGGAGCTACTTACCGAACTCTCGAGAGCTCATAAGAGTGTTGAAAAGCTTATGCGCCAAAGTCGTTGAATAATAGATTGCAGAGAGTGAGATGTTGCTCAGATAATGTGCAAAGAGAGATAACAAATTCAATTCTTTCCACCGTTTTTGTTCTGGAAAATCGACCATATTACATATTACCATTATATTCGGAATTTTCGCTCGTTTTTGCGTTCAGTCGGATGTTGAAGGCAAAACTGTTCTAGCTACGGGTGTTGACGACAAGTCGGAATGCTGAGCTTTTTGCCATTGCTTCATGCTCCGTTGATGTTATTCACGTCGACGGCTTAACTTTGGATGAGACTGTGGATCTATTCTCTTCTGACGGGTCATCGTTACAAGGAGGGGAGGATGAAGTGGGTCCTTTCTAATTTTTAGATGAATTACCTTGAATTAAACCATTACTACAGGTTGAATCAGCAATTCACTGTGCGTTTGAAGTTTCTAGTGGAAATGTTGCTTTGTTGACAATGCTCAGAAAAGCGGCGTCAGGTCGAGCAGATCGGTAAGGTTATAGTTCCACCGTGAAGGGGGCTGCTTTTCAATGTCGTGCTCTTTGACTCAACCAATCACATCTTTACAACTTATTAATTCTTCTGTCACATTGGCAGTGTCACTCTCTACTTATGATAACATTTCAAACCATGTCAATTTGTGATTCATTATAATTTATGTTATTCAGTCTTTTGAATTACGCACGGCGCCTTAACGAGCGCGGTTTGTCGTCGTTGTCACTGAAGACTTCCTACGAATATACATCGATGGACGTGGCTTTGACGGTATCAGTGCAGCGTCTGTCGTCAGACGAACGGGATACTCTTGCGTGTGCAGCGATCTTGCCATCAGAGGTGGACATTCCACTCTCGGTGAGCTCCAACTCTCGCGATTCCTTGCTTGGCATTTTGGCGTTCTGTTGAAAAACACTCACCTGTTCGACCTTTATAGATTTGGGGATTGTTCGTGCCAGTCGATGTGGTTGATTCTGACGATGCCGAGTTCTTGATGTTGCTCGCCGATCGGCTCAACAAAATACATGAGAATGGTGGCTGGCTGACACATAATTCACAGATGGACGCCTTTCGAATAAGTAAAATGGTGGAAATCTATTTGCGAGATGCTCTTGAACCACAAGCAAAACAGGTGAGCCCGGTGGTGATTATGGTACTTGCTATAATTAATTGGGGATACTATGGGCTGACAGATTGCGCGGCGATTTCTACAATACTGGTGTTTACCATCAAGACACAAAGCGTGTTCATAGTGTTCGTAGAAAAGCATGAGGCTATACTTTTTATGTCGTACGCGGTTAGGTTCACATATGGTGGTATCGTGAACACCTACCTAGTAAAATTTTATGCAAAAACAAGCTGTAGGACAGAATATCAATCGCAGCAGCATTTCACATGTATCTGCCTCTTTTTATTCCGCTCACTTACCTTTTTTCACAAGAGATTGCTTTAATGGCTTCATTTTTCCATTTTGCGAGAGCACAAAGTCCACTGTCTTTCTCCCGCTGTTGAGTGTACTGTAGGTTTATACTCTTCACCCAGGTTTTGGATAAAAGTGTGCCGGTCCGGTTGGACTTGTGGTCTTTGTTTGTGNATCTGGAAGCACCCCTACATTGCGGAATAATATGCAGAATCGAATTTATTAGAAATCAGCTCGATTAATCATATTTTTTGAATAAATGTTTTTTCCAGACATTGCTCTCTATTCTCAAATCTCGGTTGGAGAGATATAGGCAAGATGGATTTGAAAGTCCTTCGATCAGAGAATTCTTCCTGAATTATGCTTCGTTCTATAAGTCTGCTCATGGAGTAGACATTTGAGGTATAACTCCACTGCTCCTAAAAGAGTAAAGCCAAGGAAATCCCACGAACCAGCTCATTTGATCAATTTACTTCATATATTCCGTTATCATATTGTCATTGTGCATGATTTGATTTTTTTTACTTGCTTACTTTACTTTGGTTTAGCTGAACTCTGTGAAAAACTCTCGTACTCGAGTTTCCCTCGTAGCTGTTCAGTTTCTTTGTTGTTCTTTGTTTTGTTACCGTATTCTTTTTCAGTAGCGTCTTTCACAATGACTTTCGGTTCTCCGGTCACTTGCAAGTTACTGTTAATAATATCTAAGTACTGGTTGCATCTCTTATGATCTTGGTTTTATTTTTCTCTTGTTGATCTCTAATTGATTTTGTTATATTAACCTCATTGATTTGATATTGTGTATAACGTGAGGTACCGTGTCAGTTTGGTATTTTTTCTATAAACTTCTGTAATCGAGCTGAGATTTCTTTCTGGTGATACTCATTGGCATAGTTCGTTTACTCGATGCGGCTGGTCCTTTGATGGGATCGTCTACACCGGAGTGAGTTTGAGTTTCTCTCATATTAGGGTTCATTTTAGCATTTGAAAATTCGTACGTCACGAAAACAGGGATAGTAGCGGTTCCTCATGCAGTATTGATTATTTGCGTGTGTACGCGTGCGCGTCAACTAATCAATACTGCATGTGGAACCTGTACTGTCCCTGAATTTGTTAGCAAGCGCTTCATTTACAGATGATTATTTCAGTGTGAGATTTCTCGCCACAATACTCGTTGCCTGCACATTAGCTGTGGCTCAACTTTTGTTATCGATCCCTATTAAAGCAGAACTTTCTTCTTATAGCCCTTTGTTGTGGCTTCTGATTATTTATATCATTATGTGCTATCAAGTAAGTTTCAAATTGCGGATTGTACGTAACACGAGTTTGTGTTGCCTGTGTCGAGAGTAGAAATCCTCTCAAAAGTATGAACTGGATGTAGAGCGCGTCTGGAATTCGAAACCTTCGTATTTACACTTAAAGGCGTTATGACATTTCCTCATTTAAGTGGAATCGACTCTACGGTTCTTATTTAACACGGAAGCATCGTGCCTTATTCGATGAATGGAACATTCTGGAAACGTATCAGCCACGTGCTTTGACGATGGGTCACTTGTTTGAGGTAATCAAACGATGTGAATTCATGTGCTTCAAATACGTATTGAGTGGTTTCAGCCAGAACCACCAACACCATTCCCAGAAGACCAGGAAAGCACCCCAGAACAAGATCGGTTCAAGGCACTTCGTGATGCGGTTCGTTGAATTCTTTCCAATCCTCACATCGGGTCTGTCTTATTTGTTACCAGTTGGGCCGCCCGGTTTACGCCGGGCCCTCATTCCTTACGTTTATTAATCAGTTAGAAATGACCCCCCCCCCCTTGTGTGAAGAAATGTAGAGGAATGTAGGATAGAGCTGGGTCATCCATATCACTGCCTTTATCGTAATCATAAAGTTTGTGGACGGACACACCGACAAACAGACATACCGACATACCGACAAACCGACGCACCAAGTTTCTGCTTTATAATAAGAGAGATTCTATAGGCTTATCAGCTCTCATCAATCTCAATGACAGGTTTGACCCCTTATTGCAACTTTTACTTCAGCACTACGCTAACGAGTTTGTGTTTGCGGAGAAGTTAGCGAAGGAATCGAAGGCAGCGGAAGCGTCGTCACATTCCGATCAAGCTGCCAAGCAGGTTAAGGTATCATATACGCGCTCTTTGGAAATTTAGCCAATCTATGTTTTTTTATTGCTGAAAGCCTTTTGGTTGTCATTCCATTAAAACAGGGCCGCGATAACCGCTTTTCCTTCGGTTGGTAGAGAGTTTCTTGGATGTCGCTGTCTATGGTTTGGTTCGAGGTGTGCTGTCTTACATCACGGAGGAGGGGCAGGGGTAGTGGAGGGTGGTCGTTTTCTATGCTTCTGAATTCCTGGCAGCTGTGGAAGCTGGCGTACTGGCGCGTCCCACCGTATAATACAGCGTCATTACCTGGGAAACCCATTTAGACGACAGTAAGATACTAACGGTAGAGTTGTCTTTCGCACTTGTTTTCAGAATTTTGCGGGTATTTCAATTAAGTAAGTTTATAAACACTTTTTTAGAAAGATTCGCTGAAGCCAGAAATGGTGCGAATTGAGCTGAAGCCGGATTCAAAAGCTGATCAGGGGTCTTATCGTGAAATATAACGCTATTGAGCCGTGCACTCAAAATGCCGTACAAATCAATCTCATGTCCACTAATACTACTTGTTTGACCATTTGAATAAATTTATGAGAGTTAATCTGGTTTATGTTATGAAAAGGTTGTTAACCTGTTGGTTTTTGGAATCGATCGGCCGTTCAAGTCAGTTTTTCCCCTTTCTCTCATCTCTTCGTCTTCATTACGGTTGTTAAGACAGAAGCTTATTGAATGGCACGGTGTAGTGCCGCTGCTCAGGTGGTAGGGTGGAATTTGCTGTGCTAACAAGTTGGCCACAGCTTTAGCCATATGGGGTCTTTCTAGTTGGCTTCATGGAGTATTGAAAGTAACATATGGTATGCGCTCATGCGGTCATTTTTGCCGCTCCGCGAACGACGGGAGCAATCAAGGGTATTTGAAGCTACTCAATTAGGCTATTAACTATGATTTACGAACATTTTATTCTTCTTCAAAATTGATCCAATACCAAAGAAGTCTGAAATATTGCTTCCGAGAGCTTCTGAATCCCTTGACTTGACTGGAATTGACTTTTGGAGAGGAGGAGG